CAGCGAAGGAAGACTATCTTTGGGATTGAAAATCTAGAGTTTACAGCTTCTGTGATACGCATGCAGGAAGCTGAGTCTATAGGCAGTCCTCTCGAGATTTGCGGGCTCCTGCATTAGAGCTGGGAGCCTTAAAACCTGAACCCTTGGCAGAAATGTAGTTCAAAGATTTAAAAAAGAACAGACTGCTTTTGATGCATTTGCGCAGAGAAATTTTGATACTTCCATCACTTGTTTTGCTCTGTGTATTTCAAAGCAGGTGGAAAAACTGTACTTCTCTAACTGTTGCTGTGTGTGCTACATTTTCAACCAGTTATCAGTGGTTGTATCTTCATGACATTTTAACTGTTGAAAATGATACACAGTCAAAATAGTTTGCTTTCCAAGAGCAAAATGGACCTTTGCCAGGCCTAATTATTCTCCTGAATTGGGGAATTGATACCTGGGTAATAGAGTAAATCTTTGAAAATTTTTTTCTTCCCCAATTTTGACCAAAAAAAAATTGACTAAGTATTTCTAAAGTCCACTAAAGCACTCTGTGTAAAAAGTTTTCTTGGTGGCCCTCAGCACTTCCTTACTTGAAAAGTTTTTTTTATGATAATTTTTATTTTATTTTAAATTCTGTGAGTTAGTGTTTATTCTGTGGCAAAACCAGATGATTCATCCATTGAGACAAAATGTTTTGAGGAAAATACTGTTTTGCTGGAGTTTCTTTAAAATAAATAAATTCTGAAAACAAGGCTGCCTAACTGAAATATTTGTCCCATTCCTAGCATTATCCTGTTCTTGCACAGTGACCTTCTTTATAAACCTAATTTAAGATGTTTCCTAGATTATTCCCATCCTCCCCACAGATCAATCAAACCACTACTAGTTTGTATGTTCTGCTCCTACTGGGAAGAAGGACATTTTCACTTTGAGTTTTCCATTCTTTTTGTCTTGCTGTTGGAAGATGTGCACCATACTGTAAACAGTCATAAGTGTACAGAAGAGCTTTGTGTCTGTTCAGGAATTTTTCTGCATGGCAATATATTTTATTTATCCTCACAGCATTATTGCCTGTGAGAGTAAGCACTGAGAAGGGTACAGACAGGGAGCATTGGAGATGCTGCGTAGTCCAGTTGTCTTTTGGAAGTTCTGAGCTATTCCAACATCTCTCTCTGTTTAGAATGACCCTACATATTAGAACAGGGTATCGAGATATTAAATAACTCAAAACTGAGAGCTTGATACTAAAGTGAGTCTCTTGTGCCTATGTTAATAGATTAATTGTATGGTGTATGTTTTTATGACATCTGCAGTAGAAAATTTCTACTCTACACATGGGTGGTTTAAACATAATTGCATGTAAATTTTGTTTTCTTAAAACCCTTATCACAGGTTTCCTATTAATTTGTTTCCCTTTCAGGTTTTGTAGTAAAATGTTCTTGTATCTGTCTGGTTTAGTGCATACAGGGTAGCTAATGTCTGTGCAGTGTAGGGCAGTGCTGTTCATCCTGTTATGACTAATGTGCGTGGAGCACAGTTCATCAAAGGGGTGACATTTTTGAAAAGTATAGGGAGTTGTAGCTGTTGGAACTGAACACCTAAATAGTATCTTTAGAGAAATGTCACTAGTTTGTAAAAAACAAAAAACCAATCAGACAAAAAAAACCCCAAAATGAAAAAAACACACCAAAACCAAACCAATAAAAACACCCACAAAAAACCCAAACAAAAAAACCTCCCACTTCTGTAAACTATACCAATTATTTTTGCATTCTTCCTCAAAAAAAGTGACTGTAGAACTATATAGTATTACTGTGCTTTATGTTTAGATGTCAGTTTTGTACTTGCATATGTTTATAGAATAAAATGAGTTATTTTCTTGAAAACTACGGCAGTAAAGGATCATTCAAACATTTTGTTCTGTGTTAGTCAAAAAACCACAGAGGTCAAACTATTTATGGAAGGAAATCACTGGAAGGAGTTAAATAACAGACTGTCTTCAATTTATGAAAACTAAAAAGTGCCTTTATATTTGTTTCTTTTCAGTCTGTAGTGGATGACTGGATAGAGTCATACAAACATGACAGAGATATAGCACTTCTTGATCTCATTAACTTCTTTATTCAGTGTTCAGGCTGCAAAGGTAAGATACTGAAATATTTACTCATCCATTTAAGTAATATAGTATGATTCTTATTATTTGCTTTTATACTATGTATGCTGTAGGACTGCTCCATCCCTGCAGCTAGTTTACATTATTAGGTTCTTGTAGTTAAGCTAGTATTTCTGAGGATGAGAGCAGGAGATTTAGAAATACTATATTTAAAAATATAGGGTAGATTAACCCTCTTGTATTGACACCAGAGAAATGCAGTATTGGTACTTAAACTTCATCTCGCTCCACTCCTGCTATTATTTCAGAAAACTCTCTCTCTCTCTTAACATTGATAGTTTAGCTTGTTGGGTCTTGGAATTCTGGTTTGGATTTATCTACTTCTTATCATTGAGTGTTTTAAGATTGTTTCATAGCCTTTGTAGAGATGCTTGATTTAAAAGATACTATGGACACCTTCATGGTAGCCTATCTACAGTAAGATTGTATTTCTATATTTTATGTTCTTCTTTATTTTCTGGTTTTCTTTATTCATTTCTATGTCCTCCATTCTTTTCTTCGTCACCTCCTTTTGAAGAGGAGAAGGTAACTCACCCTGCAGTGTCACTGCGCTTGATAGAGTAGAACTTGGACGTATTTTGTTCTGCTCGAGCATTTCTCTGTCCTGATAAACTTTCATCATGCACAAATCTCCAGAAAGCTAACAGCATTCCTCAGAGGTTATCCATGCTTTCAAGAGCAGTGACCTTTTGATTATTGTTACCAGATAAAACCGCAGAATCTTAATGCTTTCTGAGATGATCCTTGTCACAAATTTTGCAGTATAGTTGCAGTAAACTTTAGGAGATCTATTTGTTTTTTATATCACCATTTAGACTCTTAATAATTTGAGGCTAAGACAAATAGAAATTGTGTGAAATCACTGTGTTTACTGCAGTGAGTAGCAATAGAACTGTTCAAAATTGTCTTACACCATTTAGAATCTTGAGTCATGAAAGGTCACTTCAGATTAGTGTAGTCACCCTGTTGATGAAGAGGTCTGGCACAAGTATCTTTGACTTCTGAGTACAAATGAATGAGTAAATTCTAGATGTGTGTGTGCACACAAACAAACTTATAAAAAGAATCATCATAGAACCCTTATATATATACACACACACATATATAAAAGAAAAAGTATTGGTGCCAAGTGCTTGTTATACACGGATGCTAAAATAAAAAATGTGTAACTTTTTAAAAATATATGCATAATCTGTAGGTTAACTGAAAAATTGGTCATTCTTACATTGTAGCAGGAGGCATGTCATCTGCTATCTACCTCTTTCATATTAAAGTGCTAATAATCTGATATCTAAATTGTAGGAGTTGTTACAGCAGAGATGTTCCGACATATGCAGAATTCTGAAATAATCCGAAAAATGACTGAAGAATTTGATGAGGTAATTTAGTGAAGTGCTGATAGTGTATTGATACTAATTTTTTATTTTACCTGCCCTAATCTTACTGGATCACACTGCTACAGGTTTCTTTCAAGGGTAAAGGTCAGCTGCAAAAATGACAGGACTTTTATGAATGAAAATCTTGAACTCCCTTATTTCACTGAACGTGTAAGACTAGGAAGTAAAGCTTGGCATGTATATAACTTGTTTTATTAATGGTTTAAGAAATCAATAGTGACTTTCAGTTTTTGAATAGTGGGAACTCCTACTACAGTGGGGCTGTGTGGGATGCCTCCCCGTTCCTGCTGTGTATCTAAGCCCTTTAAGTCTTTTTAACTTTTAAAATGGTTGCTAAATTTATTTCTATGCATTCATTAATCTGGAAACCATGGGGATTTGAATTTGATTATTCTCGAATTGAAGATTAATGCTTTGCCTTCCTTTGGGATTAAAACTTCTTTTCCTTTAAATTGTCTTTCCATTCCACTGAGTGTTGGGGTAAATGAGATGTGTTGGTTTTTTGGGTGGGGTTTGGTGTTTTTTTGGTGTTTTTTTTTTTTTTTTTTTTTTTTTTTTTTTTTTTTTTGGGTTTATTTTTTAGTGTTATTCCTTTTACCCTGTGTTCCGAAGAATGTAAAGGTGGCTTTAAAACCTGCTCCCAAAATTTGTCTAATACGGAAATAATCTCACCCCCACTTAAAATCCAAAACCCATCACTAACTTTAACATAGGGGAAAATATAATACACTTTTGTTTAAAATTATTTTAGTATTCCTTAGAAGTATCTCAATACAGAAATAGATTTGATTACTGTAAGGCAGTATTGTATGAAATACATAAAGCTTCAGCTGGGACTGTTTGTTCAGGTATTTTTATTACTATGTTTTGCTTGCTCTTTCTTGTAACAGACTTCTAATTAATAACTCTCAAATTTCTAATCCCTTGTCATGGATACCTTCTTCACTTTCAACCTGTAATGTAATGTTTAGCCTCTTAAGGAAGCTGATCGCAGAAGCACTGAAACAAATGATTGTAAATTTTTTCTCCCCCCCTCTCACTTTGCCATTATTTGTAAAGGTTCTTAAGTCAGGAGAGGAACACAGATTTGTTATATTCAAGGTGTTATAGTAGGTCATTTTACAAATTCGGGAATTTTCTGTCTGATGTGTAAGCATCTCCCTGTAAACTTCATTATGGTCCTGAATTGAGTGTTCCTAAACGTGTCAACTAACAGTTCATATGATGGCTCTTTTGTTGCAGTGTGCTGTGAAGCAGATTTGTAAGGGTTATGAATTTTGTATTTTATTTAGGTTGTAGGACAGAAAGAAGAAATAACTACTTATTTCAGTATATTTGGTTATGTGCATTTTTTGTGGTAGGACTTGTAGCGTGTTGTCTCTGCATATAGCAAGCTTGACCTGCAAAACAGGTGCATGTTTGTGGAATTGCATTCTTCTGATATATCCTTTTTTTATTGCATCGGAGATCTAGGCTTTAAAATTGTACCCATCTCTTTTTAATCTTTATTTAATAAAATAACTTTTAAGATGTTTAGAGAGTTTCCTGTTTTCCTGTTTTTGTTTTTTAATAGGATAGTGGAGATTATCCATTAACTATGGCTGGTCCCCAGTGGAAGAAGTTCAAATCCAGTTTTTGTGAGTTCATTGGAGTACTCGTCCGACAATGTCAATATAGCATCATATATGATGAATATATGATGGATACTGTCATTTCACTGCTTACGGGGCTGTCAGACTCACAAGTCAGAGCATTTCGGCACACTAGCACACTGGCAGGTCAGTGAATTATATTTATCTGGGTATTGCTTCCATTTTATGTTTTGTGTTGTATAGGAAAGAATTGTTCTGGTTGAACCTTCTTGGTGTTCAACATTCAACTCATATTTCATTGTGTGATACAGTTTTTGTCTAATGCAACCTGGTTTGGTTCAGCTTTCTTGTCCTTATTGGTTTTTTTGTTACTGAAAAACAAAGCATTATTTTAAAGCATCCTTCACTAGCTGTCTAGTACTTAATTTTTGTTAGCTTTAAGTCTAGTAGAAAAAGTAAATAGAAGGAAACTTCCCAGTTGATTCTACAAGTTTCTTTGGCCATAATAAAGGTATAGGTATCTTTTTAACCTCATAGGCAGTTGAACCTGTTTATGCTGTGGATTGAGTCAAACAGGAGTTGTATTTTAGATTGGATGCAATTTTTATTACAAATTTAAATTGTGCTGTGTATTGAGGCCATGGCACAATGTAATTGAAAGTAGCATTTCCATTCATCGCATTAGAAATAATTTTAAAGAATGCTTCATCAGTGATACAGGTACTAAATTTCTACATGGTTTTAAGTAATTGTCCTTTTTACATGATTTTTTTCCAAATCTGTTAAATTATAAAGAAATCCTTTACGGGTTAAGTGTGGAGTGTTTTAAATAAAGATGTCACTATATGGACAAAGGGATAAGCCTCTTGGACAAGAAGTTCTAAACCTGCGTTGATTAATGAAGAACAGTCTTAGATGGCATTGTGCAGTAGTCTGCTTACATAAGGTTTATTACAGCAATTTTAGTCTGAACAAGGTGAATTTAGATTATACTGAAACTTGAGTTTTTGCTACACTGGAAATTGTTCTTGTTAGCTTCACTGGAACTGGCTGGTTTACAGTGAGCTTCAATTCTGACTATCTGATCAGTTGTTCCATTTCATTGATCATCTCTCTTGAGTATATGTTAGCACATGTTAGCACGCTGCATTGGGCTGCTGCTGTGAGACTCCCACTAGCCAAGGCTTTTGTTATGAGAGAGGAACAAAACCTGTTATTTCAGGAGAATATACTAAGTCTGCTGCATGCAGTTTGACTGTTGTACCATATGAGTAATACAAATTTAGTTCTTAAAAAACAAGTTTTTCCTACTTTTTGGGGGTTGTGCCTGAATAGAAGTTGCAGGAGTTGCCCTCTTGCATGTTAATGTCTGTCACACAAAATAATTTTTATCAGTAGTCTGTTTGCATTTGTTCACATTAGTAGTTGATTCTGTTGGTTTTTGTGTAATTACTTGTGCGTTTCATATGAGATTGTGGTTTGTATTGAAGATTCGTGTTTTATGTGTGATGGAGAGAGCCAACAAAATCCTTGTATCCCTATTTACTGTTATTTGCAGTAATTTTGGCTTCTATGATTAGTTCAGACTTGTTCTTTTCCTCTTGATATCCTTGGAGATCACAGTGTGTGATATTTTGATATATCTGCGTGTCTTTATGCCTTACTCATCAACTTTATGCTAGTGATAACATGCTTAATAATGTTCTGAGTATGCTCTGCCAATGCAAGCCCTTTCATATCTTGTTACAAAAGTTCATAAGAAAAGCAAGTAAACTATTGACCACCTCCTGGTTTCTGGAATAGGCATATTTGTCTGCGTCCTTTTGAAAAAGGGTTGATTCAGAAATAAAACCATGCAAAAAATCTGACCCAAGCGTGTTTTACATTTTGGTCAGTTCTCTGGCTTCTAATTGGCTAATGTCCTTTCTTTGCTTCTGCAAATAAATGAATATTTAAAGAAAACTGCCCCTCATTAAAATGAAATTGAGGGGAAAAGAATGGTGCAATATGGTGGTGTTGGTTGTCTAAGACATTTCCTTTTGAAGAAAAAAGTTCTTGTATGTTTGAGGTTGAATGATTTGGTAGTGTCAGTCTACTAAATGATTCTAATAATCAAATATTTTAATATTTTCCTGGGCTGTGTTTGTAAATCTTACATTTCTGCCTTCATTTTTGAGGGGAAGCATATCCGATCATTGAACAATAATGCTTATGGTATTAAAAAATTGACAGAAAGAAAAGAGCAAAACATCAGCATTTTATCTGTTGTATTGATAAATGCAGTGCTTAGTAAAACGTTGATAAAGTTTGCGTATCAAGAACTTTACAGTGAATATGTTTTCATGAACTCAGAAAAGGGTTGACAGGAGGAGGTGTCAAAATTTTTGGTTAGCATTTTTCTTAGATCAGGTAACCTTTTAAATAATCCTCCCTCTTTCCACTTTTTTGTAGCCATGAAGCTGATGACTGCTTTAGTGAATGTGGCATTAAATCTTAGTATTAACATGGACAATACACAACGGCAGTATGAAGCAGAACGAAATAAAATAATTGGGAAACGAGCTAATGATAGGCTGGAACTCTTACTACAGAAAAGAAAGGAGGTTAGTGCAACTGTCTGTAACTGGTGTCCTATGATGAGTCTTGATAAATGACAATAATTGATCTTGTTCTGTAATTTGTTCTTTTGTAGAGGTAGTTATTAGTCCCTCTGTTTCATTCTTGAAGTTAATGGTTAATGTTTGAAAAATTCAATTACTTTGAAAGGTGCTTCTTACTGTCTGGTTTTCTGTAGAGAGCGATGCATATAGACTCTTAAAAAATTTTCAGATCATGTCATCTTGTTAAAGTTAGCAAGAGAGACTGCAATCAGTAACAGATAGTTTTTAGTTGTATTTCTTGACTACATTGAGTGGGTTTGGCTTCTAGAGAAGAACCCCACGATCTTGGGGCAAAATACTGCTTTTATGATGTCAATACCGATCTCAGCAGAAAGTGTGTTTAAAGGCAGAACACTATCAAAATTGAAAATGCAGTCTACTTCTATTTTCTTTCTTCTTGTGTAAAAGGGACTTGCTGATTCATTGCTGACAATGCTGTCTTGTTGAAAGCCCTAATTCATTCAGGTTTAAGTTTTTATTTTTGGGAACTGGTGTTTTGTTTTGGTGGTGTGGGTGTTTTTCTTTTTGACATTAGAAATAACCTCATGATCATGGAAACGTCTCACCTTTGCTCTTCCCGCTTTTGTGCTGTTGCCCATTAACCTTTTTACGTTCTTGACAATTCAGATAAACTGACAACTTTGTCTTCTGTTCATCTCGCAAAGATGTTGCGGTTTGAGACTGATCCCTTAAACACCCATTAAATGTTGCTGTGCTAGATGCGTGTGCAGGACCAGTCCTATTATAAGTAATACACAGATACACAGAAAAAGCAGTGATGTGAGAATTGGGACTTTACCCAGTCTCAATTGCTCTCAATTGTATATTGACTTTTAGGATTTCTTACCAGCTTTTTTAATTTGGAGTTTGATTTTCTTTTTTTCTTATGCTAAATGAAAGTAAGCTTCCAAGTAACATTCAGCTGTTCATTTGATTTCAGGTTGTGTTTCATTTATAACTCAGCCTTATCCAGTACTAAACTTCACTTAATTAATTGATTCTTTTTGCATGTATTTTTATATTTTTAATTCCCCCCCCCTTCCTTCTTCAGAGGCTACAGTGGGCAAGTGTTAGATTTAGGCCTAGAACACTTTAAACTTTTCTCCTGCTGCTTAGTCTTTTTCTTCTTACTGTATTTCCTTCCTGCCAGAAATTTCTATATCTTGTGATACTATGGAAATTGTTTGTTCTTGCCTTTTTTCTAAACTTCTGTAGGAGAGCTCCTTTACCTTTTATATCCATTCTCCAGTGTGTGTACACACACACACACACACACGCCCAATCTGAGTAATATCTCTGGTGGGGTTTTTTGGGTGATTGAGGGGGTTGTGTGTTGCTTCTTTGCACCTCTGCCCCATGAACTTCCCCCGCCATGGTCAACTTCCTTAGTCCTTGACTATTCTCATTAACATTGTCTCAATTTGTCCTACCTTTATAGTTCAAACTGTGAAAAGAATATGCTTGTCTGCTGACAATATTTAGTTATTTTCAAATCTTTTAACCAATTTCCTTGTGGTTTCAAAGCAAAACCAATTTTCTGTGTTTTAAAACGCTGCATGTATCACACCAACTCATTTGCATGTCTTGCTCTTGTGCTGTTACTGTGAGACTGGATTTACCTCCTCCATTATTTTTCAGCTCCATATTCTTAATTTTTTGCTGCAATACCTTACTCAATTTCTGCATTTTTTTTTAAAGTAATAGATGAGGAGGAAAGAGGTATTCAAAACAGAGCATATGCTGTTCATGTAGCCATTTGCAAAGTTCTTCATCTGTGTCTTGTCTTCTTAGATTACAAATGCTTTAGAGTACAGAAAAGACTCCTTGTAATGCAGTTAATGTGATTTGGGTATATACGTGTCCATTAAAATACAGTAAGTGTATTAAAAATTGGGCTGAACATCAGGATTAAAAAACTGCTACAAAATTAAATCAAATTTTCGTATAAATAACTTAAGGAGGGGCTTGCAGAAACCTAAGATGTCTTTGTCATGATTGAAGAACAGTTTTCCAGTGGTCAGAATAACTAAAATTTGGATGCTGTGGTAGATACAATTCTTAAACAATAGCATATTGTACTGTGGAACAGATTTGTGAATATTTCAGGAAAGTATTTAATGGCCACACTTGCAAAGGTTAACTCAATTTAGTTTGTCTAGCATCAGCACCATCTGATCTGACTGTAAAAGTGCTGCTCACTGTTTATGTACTCTGTTCATTCTTTCAGCTTCAGGAAAATCAGGATGAAATAGAAAACATGATGAATGCAATATTCAAAGGTGTTTTTGTGCATAGATACCGGTAAGTTTCTGTTAGTAAGTAATTTGTAGCTTCATCAGTTTATTTTGGAAGCTGGCGACAAGTTATTTCTAATTATTTATCTGTTTGATCCTATTGCCATGCTTCTGCCCACAGAGATGCAATTGCTGAAATAAGAGCTATCTGTATTGAAGAGATTGGAATATGGATGAAGATGTACAGTGACGCCTTTCTTAATGACAGCTACTTAAAATATGTAGGGTGGACTATGCATGACAAGGTAAGCTGCATTGAGGAAAAGGAACAGAATCATGAAGCATAACTCCACACTTTTGGTTGTTGATCTTGACAGACTAGGTTCTGATCTCTTAAGTGTTTCAATCACTGCTTTTCTTACCACTCAGAAGCACTGGCATTCCAACATAGATATGAAATAGAATTGAATCTTTTGAGTGGTTTTAGAGAGTATATATAGATTTTTAAGGAACCAGTATTTGTAAGGAAATGGCTTTTTCTATTTATTTGTTGCTGATACAGAGTTCTACTTTATAATGCTGAACTAATTAAAATTAATGCATTTCACATGGAATAATCCAGTCATATAGCCTAACAGTTTCTCTGTTTTGCCAAGTTAAGAAACTTTTGAGCTTACTCAGCTAGCTGTAAAAAATATGGGAAAAGTCCCTTTTTGTACTGATGAGTGCCTCAAGCTGTTACCAGCTACCAGCTAGAGGTTATTCTCTGCTTGGAGTGGTCAACAGATAAGATTTACAAATACTCCTTGATTTATTGTTGAGTCAGCACCTTGTCTCAGTTCTTGCATTGGTGACTTCAAGCTATCGAATTTGAAGTGAAACAAATGAGGGATCTCAGTCATGCTATGCTGTTCATGGGTTTGGCATCAGAAAACAACAACCTCTGGCAGTGGGGTGGTAAGAAACTGTGTGAAGTCAGTTGTTCTAGATTTCTGAAAAGTATTTCTGTATCTATACCTTAAGACATGTTCTCTGCTAAGGTAGATCTTGTACTTCAGGAGGAATATTTGTCTCTGTATCTACTTGGTAATTCTGATCTAACTAGAGATGGTTGTTAATGATACAGATGTTGCCAGTTTTAAGGGAAAGGAAACACACAGAGTTCTACTTAGAAATATCTTGAGCATTTAGAATGCATCTTTAAAGAAGGAAGCAGGTGTATTTTGACTTGCAGAGATACTAACTGCAGTGAGACACTGGTTTGTCTTGTTACAAACAAGG